CTTTTTATTCTTAATTATATATTTAGGGATTATGGTCATTTTAAGGTATATATTAACACAAATTTAATTTTAAGTGTTTTATACATATATATATGTTATATTTTTTTAATTCTTATTCAACTAAACTTTATTTAATATTGTGTATTAATTAATTGAAGATTAGTTCTTACTTCTTAGATAATTAGATGTAATTAACCATAAAATTAAATATTTTGAAATAATTATTAGTTGGGTCCAAACTATTATTTTGGTGATGATGTAGACACGAGAGAAAACTTTCTCATTATATATAGTTACTTATCTACATCTTCTTTCCTTCTAGTCACTTCTATTTTTGTTTTCAATATAAGTCACAGAAGTTGAGATTTCGATGGTTTGGTTGAACATGTGTTTGATATGAAGGATTGCGAAACCAATTGTTATGGTCCCTCAAAGTAGGTCCTTTGCTATACTTAGAAGTAAATTAAAGGCATGAATTTTTCGTGTTTATTGTTATTTAACTATTGACATTATTATATCATTCAATTGAATGTAATTAAATCGAATTGAGTTGGCAAACTGACGCCTAACTACCCGAAATCAATGATTTCTTATAGGGGTGATATATTTAAACCTATCGTTCTATTTGATATCATAGTTTTTCAATTTTTGTTTGTTATATAAATCGGTTTATAACTCTATGATTAAAGTGGTATCCATACAAGTACTCTCCATTAGTCTATCCAGAGGTTAGTGCCCCAATATTAAGTGCATTGATTAATTTTGATTTCCAGCTTTAATTGTCTCAATTGTGTGAAGTACTAAAGGGACATTTTTATCTGAGTTTAGTCCAATGTGCATATATAGTGTTATAAGTTCCAAGATCGAGCAAGACCTTTCGAGAGAGAGAGAGAGAGAGAGAGAGAGTTCAATTTAAAATTTTGTAATCGAATGTTTAAAATTATCTTGTGGGATTTATGATTGAAAAAAAAAAACCAAGAGCCTAATACTCATGCATGCTGTTCAATTTGGATTTTAATGTGGATTGGTTTTAGATTGGCTTAAAAAGATGGTAAGTAAAACAAAATATAATCTAATATATTTGCTTTGATCTGAGTCTAGACTCCAAAAATACTCTAGGAGTCTAGGAACTAGGATAATACAAGAGGTTTACATGATCGAATTCCGGATAATATTGGTAAATTATTAAAAGTTAACTTAGGTTTTAGAGATGTATGAACCTTGGCCGAATCTTCTAATTATATATATAAAGAAATATATATATATATATAATATTTTCTCTGAAACATGTTTAATTTTTAGTTCAAACTTGGTTTTAAATTCCTTGAGTGCTTTGCAGAGTTATTATGAGGCTTAGTTTGTGATTTTATCATCGTTTCTAAATACTACTTCTTGGATAGAATTTCTAATCTGCTAAAATTAATTTACTCGGAGATGTTGACAAAAAAACATTTAAAGTGAAAATATAATGTGGTTTAAATATATATATATATATATATATATATATATATATATATATATATATATATATATTTCTTTTTTTACCAGCTTTATTTTAATTTTTTAATTAATCATATTTGCTGGATTTAGATTTTAGATCTGTTCGATTTCTTATATAGTTATAATAGACCACCTTTTTTTGGTTACTTATTACAAAAGAATTGCATTAGTTAGTATTTATGACAAAGAAGAAAAAAGTAACTCAAGGAAAAGTTTGACCTTGAAATTTTACTTTATCAAATTTTAGCGTGTAGTTGTGTGTAAATGTGTGTATTTCTCTATATTATTGTATTGTACACGCAACAAATATTGCCAGGATCATGAATATGTTAAAATACTTGCATTCATTGAATTCTATGGATGGTTAATGATTTAAATTTTTGTAGTTTTAATTTATAACAATAGACATCAACCCTTCATTCATTGGTTACTCTAAACTCTTGTTTGAAAAATTGTTAGGAGCTAGTCGGACGTTCGGTATGGGATAGCGATTAATAGGAAAATCGGATTAAAATCGGGGATTTATCGGCGACTAGTTTAAAGATTATTTTAATATTTTAAAAATATATTAATCTAATATTGTTTTCAAAATTGTAGAAATCACATAAAAATGTATTTTTAAGATAAATTTTTATGACTTTTATTAAAAAAAATGATTTATTAAAATTTGAACATAAGTTATTGTAAAACATCACAAAATGTCAATTCAAATGTGAATAATAAAAATAAAAGTTGTTTTATACTTGCAATCTAAAAATAATTGGGATATGTAAGATTAGGTGGGGAGTAATCGGATTAGGCGGAGAATGATCGGATAACTGATTTCTTTAAAGAATTAGTCATCAATCGAGGTGGATAGGGTGGGTGTAGCGATTAAGTGGAGGGTAATCGGAGCTAGGCGGAGATTTTTAGAACAAGGCTCTAAACCAACTTACCTATGGAGTTATAGATTCAATTTAACTATGTGATGTTTAGAACCTATATATAAAGTTGGTAGAATTATTTTGATTTGGAAGAGGCATGCATCTATTAATTAGAATCCTCCAGTAATCAAGACGTAGTATCTTACATGTGAAGTTGAGATTGCAAACAATGATATACGTGCAACCTAAGCTTCTAATCATCAATAATAGAGGACATGCATATAAGTAAAACTTATGACTTTGCAACAACATTACTCTTTGAACTTGAATGTTTTGGTTATTTGAAAGAGATTTCATGTATTTAAAACAATTTTGGCATGTATTTAACCACTATAATTCTTAGATGATAGAATTATTGACTACCTCAACTAGATGGGAATATTTGATCCAAGTCTTAAGGCCCCTTCTTTACATGAACCAATGGACTAATAATCAACTTGTTAACCTTGTGGCTAAAAAACTAGACACAATTCTTGCCAACAATCAAAATATTTTGATTGACCCGAGTTTTAAGATCATTCTCATCTTCCGAAATTGCAAGATCATGTCGGATCTTTATCGACTATCTGATGAAAAGTCTAATGATATTCTTTCTTTCGTTATTGTCACAGGTCTATTTGATTAGCGCTTACACCTTATGCGCCTCGAGCATTCTCGATGGATGTTTGCTAGCCTTGCCACTTGATACTTTTTGTTGAGGATGATTCCTTGATCCTGACTTTGTGAACCGACCGACTTTGTTGTGGGTATTGGCATGTTTCCACATATTTTCGCTCAGACATAACTACATTTTATTTGCCTAGATATTACGTTGAAAATGTTCTCATTGGCAGAATAAATCAATACTCTCCTCCTACTAACTCCGAATTATATTTTGCAAAACATCGAATTTCACCATTATGAAGATGGACGTATAGTATAGATTGTCAAAAGTTGGTCTATGAGAACTAAAAAGACTTTCACCAAAGAAAGAGCCGTTAAGATCACTCAAAACAACGAGGGGTTGCTTTTATAAGAACTTTCACTAGCTAAAATCAGATAAGGTTGAAAAAAAAAAAATTAAAAGAGAACGCAAATGAGTATAAAATGGAAAGGGGGTTGAATAGAGCAATATTTTTGTGAGACGAACTTAAAGGGATGCATATGTTTGACTATTCAGGGTGTATGTAGATGCTAAAACTTTAGAACGAAAATTGTAGTGGAAAATTGGTATATGAAGATGCTTTTGGTGGGTTTATTTGAGAATTGGGTGAGAAAAATTCATGTTTATCTCCTTAAGTATGATATTGATTAGTTGATCATACATTAAAATGGGTTTGTGACCAAATCTTCTTTATGATTCATGAGAATTCATATTTATAAGGAAATGATATTAGCGAGGTCGAATACTAGGTATTCGAATTTTTAAGGCTGTAAGATTATCCACATTTCTGCTTTCAGGATAAACAATGCGTGGAGAAGGTTTGGTGCGCTAACTCCCTTTAACATGCCTCTAGTGTATACGTGAGAGTACTAGCTCAACGTTAAGATGTTTCCCATACTTCTTTCTCGGAAGATGTATTTGTCACGTATTATCAGTAGCTAATTATATGAAAATAAGAACGAATTGTGATTATGCGCATGAAGGTGGGATGTGTCTACTCTGATGAATAATATGATGAGTTTATAAGAAGTCATCTTTTATCGTTGATGTATGAATTTTTTTTCTTTTGCGAATTCATTAATTACATGTTGTTTAGTGATTCGCTCATGTTTGATAACTAAGAGAGATCCCCAACCGTCATTAGCTAAGATTAAAAAAAAATTACGAATTAGGATGAAAAGATTCAAAGAACAAAAAATAATTAAAAGAAAACTTAATAATATTTGAAAAAGAAAATTCTAATTTTAGTAAATATTTTATCTTATATAGTACCACTAGTTGATTTTTAAATCCCATTATTTGTTTGTTATATATAATAAACATAAATTGATTTGACATACTATGGACCTGATTATGAGGCTATTGATACCAGGTTTAACTTTACATTTTTTTATGTAGAGTTATGACTGTAGGTTTATTAGTTGTGGTTGTAGATTTTAATTGCTGTAGTATTTTGGCTCTAAAATCTAAAACTTTGGAAAGTTAAAAGTTATATATTTTTAGAAAAAAATGTTTTCTATAGCAAAAAAAAATTGAATTAAAGAAATATTTTGGCTTTGAAAAAAAAAAAAAGCTAAAGCTTCTAAAATTTGATTAGATCCATTTTAAAGCTTTAAAATAATAATTTATATTAGTTATTTATTTTGTAAAATTAAACTTCACATATCATTTGGTAATAAAATCAAAAACCTATAATCAGAATCTATTTATGAGATTTAGAGAAAACAAATTCAAAAAAGCAGATTCCTTTTTTTTCTACCCCAAAAGCTCTTTCACATTTTCCTTACTTGTTCCATTTGGTAACCCAAATTAGAAGAGCATTTAAGTCATTTATTCATCAATGGCATTGTTCGTAATTTTGGCAATGTTAAAGGGTAATTTATGCTTCCTTCTCCTATATATAGTTGTAACCCTACTTAAAATCTCCTTGTCCTTTCATTTCTCCTTCTCTCCCAAATCGTCTTATTGTCTTATTCTCTCTCTCTCTCTCTCTCTCTCCTTCTCTCTCTTTTTATAATTTTATTATTTCTTAAATTAAGAAAAAAGAGATAATAAAAAAGCCTTCTCGGGTTGTCAAAAAATACTGTTTCACCGCAGTAATTAATTTTAAAATTTACTGTCGCTGACGTGGCATGCACTTAAAAGGAAACAGCCATGAATACAAAAACGATGCGCCTTCCCCCACGCCGAGTTATCTCCGGCGCCGTCGCCAGCAAACAAACGGAATCCGCCGTAATAAATCCACCACCGCCGCCGACTAAATCCATTCTCAAGAAAACTCCGACCATCGTTCGACCAACAACCACCGCCGCCGCAGCCGTAGCCGAGCCGGTTGGTTCGAACAAGCTCTTAGCCGGTTACTTGGCTCATGAGTTTCTCAACAATGGCACACTCTTCGGAGAGCTTTGGAATCCTACTCGAGCCCAAGCCGGCCCATTAACGGCCCAATGTACTGAGACGAGAAAAACTAAGCCGAGCCATGATATGGAGCCGAGTGATCATAAACGGAGGAGGTATGTGGAGGTTGCTAACATACTCCGGGTAGATGGGACCCACTTGCCCGGTATCGTTAACCCGTCACAGCTTGCCCGATTCCTTAAATTGTGATGCGTAAATCCACGTGGAATCATCGTATTGGTCTGTCGTTTAGAAAAAGAAGACAGCTGTAACACAGAAACATTCCTCTTCTCTTTCTTTCTTTTCTTCCATTAATTTTTCTTTTGATATTTTGTAAATTGCCATCTCTGTTTCTTTATCGTCTTCATCGAAGAAATTGACTCAGAAATGTTTTAGGTTTTTTTTTTTGAATTTCGAAATCTGGTCTATTTATGATTTAAATCGAAAAAAATTGAACGCCGATTCAACTATTTTTGTGTGAAATTACTGATTTTGATGATGAACAAAAATGATTAATGCAAAATTATTTATAAATCACTTAACCTCTTGAATCAATCTTAGATCTGTGTTAATTCGGGTACAATTTGATTACTTCAAATTTGATCTCGGTTTTGAGTTTGTAAATTTCTGATAAAGATGTCATCTTTGATCTAAAAATTTGAACTTTATTTTAAGATAATGATCACAAGTTACTGGGAACTGTGTGCTAAGTTTTAAGATCTCTTAAACAGGAATTAGACCAAATCTCAGACCTTTGTGTCTGATTAAGAGCCTGTTTTATAGATGCCTTTACTTTGTTAATTGGGTTTCTCCATTTTTAGTTAACGGTTAGGTCGTAGAATTGAATTTGTGTGTTTGATGCTTTAATCTCAATAAGTTCGTCTGAGATATAAAATTCTGTTTCGCTGGTTATATTAATTTTCTTAATCACAGGAAAAATCAGTGGTTTAGTGGTATTTGTATTGTGCCTAAGGGCATTGTAAAGCTTGTGTAGTCAAAAGAAATGTGGATTTGTAGTAAGCAGTGGACAAAATTGGTGATTATGTTTCGGATTCTTCAAGAATCTTTAGCAACAATGATTGTGAAGCTCTTTCTTGGTGATATACAGAATCTTTGACTACCAAGCATCACGGTATTGAAGTTAACTCCATCAACCAACCAGTCAGGTCGAATATTTGTTATCCATAGACCATTTTTTTGATTATAGGTCATGGAGTTTCAATAACTACTCTTCTAGTCCAATTTTTGCTTATAACTTCACTAGTTTTCTAATATTATCCCTTAATCTGTTTCTTTATCACACTTATATCCTATACTCTTACTTTGTCCATTTCGAACTCAAGCTTCTCATATTTATTGAACGTTTTTGTTGGTGAATTACTGTGTTCTGTGCACATATGTAAGGAATCTGAGAACCTCTTGAATTTAAGTACACTTCTTAAGGTTTGGTGAGTTCTTTAATTCTTAGTAATATTTTATTTCTGCTCTCTTTAGTTTTTGAAATTTTGTTCAAAGCAGAGCAGCTGCAAATTTGAAAATCTCGACATATCTAAAGCATTGTGACCCACATTGGTTGGAATAGAGGGTCTCTCAGTACAACCAGCTGGGTATATCCATATATGTAATGTCTATATGCACAATATAGTTTTACTTCTTTTTTTTTTCCGTATGAATGATCCATTATATTAAACAAAGTTGAATACAAGGTAGAATACGATTTTGGTACACAAAGCCGACAAAAGACAAAACTCTTTCGGAAACTAAGCTGGCAGAAGACATAAATATCTCCGGAAAACTAAGCCCAAAAAAAGGAAACAAAATGCACCTATCTTAAGAAATAAATCTGAAACTAGAAACCATCAGAACCCGCAAACAATCCCAGAGAAACAGTTGGCGTTGGAGCTGAACTAAGAAACATGAGCCTCGAAAGGAAACAAACAACCAGACAATCTCCATTAGACCGGAGAATCCGAAGAACTAAACAGAGAGCTCAACTAGCCACAATCCGACATAAACGAGAGAAGGGATAATCCAAGAAACGAGCACACCAAACAAACACCACCCCGCTAACTCCAGAAGCAGAAAGATCTCAAGCGAAACTTGGTACAAAAAAAAATCTTTGAAAACGGCTGAGGATAAGCCAAAGAAGAGCACCAACATTTACACGCGGACAAAGCAAACCAATCAATGCCACCTAATGGTAGCTTTACTTCATAATGGTAGTATTTTGAAATATATATAAGTTAGAAGAAAATTTAATTGTTAAAATTAGTTGTAAATTGTAATGAATTAGAGCATCTTACATAAAGACTCTTTTAATTGATACTCCATTAAAGAAATGAAACGTAACCAAATACATAAGGAAGCAAAACAAAAGACATCAATTTGTGCACAAAAGGAAAATATGAAAAAAGCAGAGCAATAATATCTCAAAACCATACCAGTCTAAAACAACCAAAGATCACCTTCACGATTAATCAAATTCTCTCGCTTTTGACAAGATCTTGTCCTGTGACCAAGAAGACACTTCACTAGAGATGTAAGATTGATAAAGGTGATCTCTCGTGATGCTTTTGGAAATCTCAATTGCAGTCCAATTGCACTGTTCTAGTGTGCATTCTATTTTCCATTCGATAAAACTATCGAGGAATTTACAACACTCGGCTATCATTTGACGAACCAGGGAAAACCGGCGTGGATGTTCAATCGCATTTACCATTTGATGAGAAGAAAGTTCAAAAATGAATATGTTTTGTCTCATGTTACTAAGGCTTTCTACTGCCCACAAGAAACTCAACAAGTCCGCTTAAAGAGGTGATGAATCAGTGAATAAACTAAGCGACAATAAATACCCTCTTTTTTTAGGGTGATTCATCTTCAAAATGATTGGCCGAAGATGTATTGTTCCAATGAATATCTTCAACATCATGAATTTCAAGGGTTGAAACGCATGTACCTTCTAGTTCGCTTGGTGGAACTCAATATATTACCTTTTCAAGCGTATGGGCTTCTTGTTCTTCAAAGAATGTAAGTTCTCTTCCTTCACATGCTGTCCGAAGTGATAAGAGGTTCAACCGGATCAAAATCGCTAAATAACTCATTACCAATGTCGGATGTTCAATGTGAAGTTCATCTAACTTCACTTTTTGTTCCGGTGTAATCTATATATAAATATTCAAATTCTGACCCGTTACTCAGTCAAAATTTTTGTTTAACTTATTTTTGGTTAAAAGAAATATATTATTCAAATGTGAATTTTTGACCCGTTAAATTTTTTTCTTCATAGATTTAACAATTTATATTCGTTTTTAAAAATTCAAATCTTGGCATATGCAGAAAAATTTACTTTTTTTTTTGTTATATGGATGATATGATGATTTATTTGTTTCATAAAAATAGAATCATATAAAGATGAGAGGTGAAGTATAATGATTAATAACAAATTAATATGGTAAGTTAGATATCAAATCTTATATGTTCATTTTGATTGGTCATTCTTTTTTTTTAAGTTAATAATATATTTTCGTTTTTAATAATTAAATTAATTAAATTTCATAAATTAGTATTTGACTTGTTTATGAGCTAAATTAATTTACTCTTTATATTTTTATCTCTAATGGCATTCTAATGTAATAACTTACAAAGAGGAATGTTATTAAAGAGTAATTATAAACTAGAATTTAACCCACGATACACCGCGGGGCTATATTTTTTTAAACAATGTAATGTTATTTTTTAAAAGATTAACTGAAGATATATCATATTAGTTTGTATTTTTAAATGTAGATATCTATCTATGTATTATTTAGTGTATGATTACTATTGTTTAGGTTTCAATTTTTGAAGTATAGATACGAAAACATACATTTTTTTAAGTATCGATGTATGGTCAATTTTAAAATTTTGAATATTTTACTCCGCGGTATACCGTGGGTCGATTTTTTACAGCTAAAATTTTTAAATTTTAAGTTGTATTTGTTTTGTTAATATTGTATGTTTTGTTTTGTGTTTAAGGTTGTATAATTGTATTTTGATTGTTAATTTTAGGATTTCATCCGTGATATACCGTTCTTTATTAATATCGACCCAAACCCGTCATCCCATATAAACCCGTCTATATTATTCCGTTAGCTAAATTATTAGTGTTATAAAATCCAAGAAAATAAATTATTATTGTTATAAAATCCAATAATTTTAGGATCTCACCCGTGGTATACCGTTCTTTGAATGATTTTAAATTTATACTACTAATATATATTTTAAATTTATCATATAAATTATATGATTTTTCTATGTGAATATTTTGATTATTATAAATTAGTATTTTTATTGTTATGCAAAATGTTAATATAAATATTTTCTATAAATCGGTTTTATGCATATTTTGTGGAGTAAAATTCACAGAAATGTTTTTTGAAGATATATGGAAAGATTGTGTAGAGATTTTTAGAAACAAATTAGGCAAGATATCGTTTGGTTAATATCTTTTATTTAAATTTTGTAAAACTAAATAATAAATGCCAATGGCATGAACTCGTAAATAAGATGGAACTCCAGGATTTATTTCATATTTGTACTTCAAAAATGTATATATAGATTGTACTCCCCAAATAATAGTATATGATACATATTTGTACCAAAAAAAATTGTTACTATTTAAGAAGATAAGAAAATCTAAAAAAATTAATCGACACCATTCATTAGATCTTACTTATCGCTAACCGTTAGATTAAATTCTCTCATTATCCTATCTAGCATATATCATATAAGAAAATCTGCAAAACTAATTTGTGGCCATTCATTTGAATTCTTATCCATATGTTATTGTATATAAATAATAGGCTTTGATCGATCAAAACCAACACTTCTAAACCAATTCCTTATTTTTACACAAAAATTATGAAAAATAGAGCACATCATCCAGTCATCAAAAGATGTGTTGTTGTATGGCACATCATTCAGTCAACGAAATTGTAAGTATGGTATGTGTTACTTTCTACTATATTTACATATAATATATGTATACGTATTTATCATCAAATGAATATGGAACAAAAAAAAAAATGAATATGAAAAAAGATGAATTTAAAAAAAAAAGGATCTCTATATATTAAAACACATTTGGTTTTTACCTGAGAGAAGAATTAGTGATGTTTGTGTAGCACCATTATGTGTATTTTATAGATATATATGATACTATTTAAGAAAATGAAATTATCTTGAGAATTTAATCTATGCTATTCATTAGATCTCACATATTAGAAACCGTTAGATTGAAATCTTGTCATTATCTTATCCAACATATCATTCAAAGAAATCTACGAAATTGATTTGTGACCATTCATTTGAATTTTCACCCATCTATTATTATTGTGCATAAATTACAAATTTTAACTATTGAAAATCATACTTTGACCAATTCATTCTTTTCTATATAAAAATGGAAAATATCGAGACACATCATTTGATCAAAAAAATATGTTGTTATATTGTGCATATCTATAAATATCACAAGATCTAATTGATAGTAATAAAAAAAAAATCTAAGAAAACTATGAAAAATCTATTTTTTTTTAAATGAACAAAAAACTAAGAGTAAAAAAATTAGAAAAAAAGATCTTTACATGGTATGATGCGCAAACGACGAGAATTTTCAAGATGACAAAAAAAGATTCCCTCTTTTGGGCTTAAGACCTTCTTTTCTTGATAGAGTCTTTCACTTTGTAGGAAATAGAACTTTTGGCTGGATTAAACCTTATCCCTTAGAAACAAACACATCGGTTTCCATCTTTTTAACCTATTTTGTCTATTTTCGTCAGCGGCGCTTTAAGTTTTTACGAAGTTCTCTTTCAGTTCATCTGCTTAAGTTTAGATCTCTCTTTTCTCTCTGTATTTCCTCGGATCTACGGTTGCTGAGTGAGTGGAGGTCTTTGCTACTGCGGTTCCCTCTGTTTTCTGGTTGGCTTGGTGAGACGGTGTTGTTTCTTGTGTCGTCTTTCTTCGAAGCTGTGGTTTTTAAAAGAAGTTGGTGTTTCTGTGCGATGTCGGCTGCCATGGATAAGGCCTTGATGGCCATGTCTCTGGATGAAGTGGATGTCCCTTTTGATATGCCGGATCTACCTCAATTCCGGTCCTGTGAAAGGAATATTCTGAGTTTGGTGGGGCGGTTACTCAATCCTGACAATCAAAGTATGTCAAATCTTATTCTCAACATGCCAAGGAAGTGGCAAAAGGTGGGAAGAGTGCGTGGTATAGCGTTATCAAATGAGAGATTCCAGTTCATTTTCACTCATGAACATGATCTTGTTGAGATTTTGGAGAAAGGAGTTCATACATTTAATGAATGGACCATTGTTCTGGAAAGATGGACTGAACATCCTCCTCCGGATTCACTGCAGTTTATCGAGCTATAGGTTCAGATCAAGAACATTCCTATAAACTATTACACTGAAAAAGCGATTACGTTACTTGGAGACATTGTTGGCCAAGTCATTGAAGCAGTTGTGGTGCCGGATAAACCTCAAAATCAAGATTTTGTGCGGGTGAAGATAAAATTCGATGTTTCCAGACCTCTGAGACAATCAAAGGTTATTAATCTCCCGGGTGGAAAATCAACAACGGTCTACTATCATTATGAGAGAATTCAGAAACGTTGCTACTATTGCCAACGATTGACTCATGAGCGTGATCTATGCCCGCTTCTGATCAAGCAACGTTTGGATCAATCTATTGACAGAAGACTTGGTAAGAAGTTTGAAAAACATAAACCAGTCCTGGTGATTAAAGAGAGTGACCCTTTGTTTGGGATTTTGTCAGAAGAACAAGTGGGTATCCACCCTGTTTTGGGCAGGCCCCGTATTTCTCATGATGTCCTGGAAGGTATGAGGCAGTATCTTTTGGCGGGTACTGTGGAAGAACGTAAGCTTAGAGAGGAGAGAGTGAAGTCTTCGGTTGCAGAGACAGAGAAGGACCCCTTCCTGCAGAAAACTGTTTTGCGTATGGAACCTCCTCTTATCATCTCCAAAGATATAAACAAAGGTAAAGGCATTGTCTTTGGGTATGACTCTTCTGATGCTTCTTCAAAGTCTGAGAATGCTTCCCCTGCTGGTGAAAAGCTGTTAGCATCTGCGATAAGAGCTCATCAGTCTGCTCCGATGATTCCTTGGGTTGAGGATGTGGTGACAGAGGATGATTTAAATCAGTTAAGTCTATTCTCTGTTCCTATTATGTCTAGTCCGACGGTTTTCAGAACTGGTTCTTATGAATCTGGTTCTTCCGGGACTATGACTAAGAAGACCTCCTCTAGGAAACGTCCTACTAAGAATCAAAGGAAAGCTCAAGTCAGTGGGACTAGTATGTTTAATGCCGATGTTCTGAAGAAACCAGGATTAGAAGAAGGGACTGTGGGAAAAAGGAAAGCAGGGAAAGGTCTGATGGTTGAAGCAAAAGCTGCAAGGCTCAGCAAAAAAAAGGTAGTCCCAAGTGAGGGACTGTCCCATATCTAATGCGGATTCTGAGTTGGAATTGTCAGGGCTTGGGGCGGCCTCAAGATCTGACGATTCCTCGTCTCATAGAGATGCGAAAAAAGCATTTTCCAGAGATTTTGTTTCTAATGGAGACTATGAACATTCGTAATGTGATTGTAGATATTCAAGTTTGACTCGGCTATGACAAGGTATATACGGTGGACCCTGTGGGTAGGTGTCGTGGACTTGCTTTGTTCTGGAAAAAAGATGTCTCGGTGGAGTTTTTGTTTGCTGATAAGAATTTGCTGGATTTGCATGTGGAGTTTGGTCTCTCCAAATTTTTTGTATCTTGTATATATGGAAATCCTAATAGTGATCTCAGAAATCTTGTTTGGGAGAGAATCACTAGATTGGGGATCCAAAGGAAGAGCAGTTGGTGTTTAATTGGAGATTTCAATGAAATCCTCCACAATGGAGAAAAGTTGGGAGGTCCTAGAAGGAGTGAAGCTTCTTTTGTTGATTTTGCTGCAATGCTAAATGCTTGTGGCATGGTTGAATTGTCAAGTTCTGGGAATGGGTTTACTTGGGGTGGTAGGAGGTATGATCTATGGATCCAGTGTAAATTGGATAGATGCTTTGGGAACAAAGAGTGGTTCAAATGCTTTCCTGCTTCTAATCAGTTGTTTTTGGAGAAGAAAGGATCAGATCATCGTCC